ATTTAATAGTTTTATCTTCCTAAAGATTATAAATCCGCCGCCCGGCTTCGTCGTCATGGAGACCAGAGGACGGCTCCAGATGGTGATTTAGGTTACGTCTGTTCGTACAGAACATTCATTCTGCTGCATCAGCTACAAAAAGTCAGCCCGAAGCAACACAAGGCGGCCAATCAGGAGGGCGGAAGGAAGTAGCCGGGGAGGTTGTATCATTGATCACACTCGTAGTAGATAAGCCCCTCCCCTTCCATATTTCAGCAGGTGACCCCCATCCCCGCACATGCTCAGTGCATCCTTCAATCCCGGCATCCTCACAATGCCTTAGTAGAAGGAGCTCCGTTAAAATTCAACACCGGTGTAACTTTATTGTTCCGCACAAGCAGGCACAAAGTATCCACCTGGGACCTCCTCCTTTGACACGTTTCACCCAAACACGGGCTCAGGTTTGCTGCAAGGCATGCGTTTTTGTGCGCTTAGGCACCGCATTGTATTTGTGGGAATTATCCCTAAGGCCTCATTCACACTGCCGCGCGTATTGTACCATATGCAAATAAATGGCTCCATACACATAGCCGCGTATGGAGCCGTTTATTTGCGTAGCGTATATATGCGCAAAAACAGAATGGAACAGAGATGCGTCCGGGCAGCGTATTTTACACGCATACGCATGTTTGCGTGTGTATACGCGCGTATGTGCGTACAGTTCATTAAAATTTCCATTAGGAATGATGCATTCTGAGAATGCAAATAGTGCACTCATATACGCACATACGCTCGTATATACGCGCATAGACGCGTATATACAATTTTGCTTGCGTTGTGTGTGAATGAGGCCTAAAGCAGCAGAGGGGCCAATATAAAGTGGAGTAATGCTTTAAGGGCCTACTACACACCCTGTAAGAGTATCGTGGTGACCATCACCATGGCAACGGGATGAATATTATTAATACGAGTGATGAATCTGAATACAAGCAGCCAGGGCAGCTCTATGGGGCTCTGTGAGTGAT